TCTAATTCCAACGAGAATTCACTGGTCGCGACTCTGTACATACACATACAATATTTACCTCTCGCCGATGTAAGTAAACTAAACATGGTTATGATTCTATTTAAACTAAAGAAGAAAAAAATATATAATTTGAAATGAAGTCAAAGCGATCTTGAAATGATAATTATTTCTTGTAGTTCGGGAATAAGTAATAATGGGTTAAGGCTGAGGTCGGGAGTCGCAATTGCAGTAATGAACATGCAGCGTTCTGATGGGTTAAATGTGAGATATTTCATGAATGAAATTTTATGAACGAGAAAGAAATCGTTCCAACATTTCTTGCAGGATGTCGTCACGGTTCAAATCACATACACGCAGTAGAAATTACAGCATAAACACAAACGAACAGTGGCTTGTGTCAGAAACCAACAAAATGAATGAGTATTGAGTTTTATTTGTCTATAAACACACTCGTCTACATAACGATGTATACATATGATAATATTGTATTACATGCCTTAATTGTCTGTTTGAAATTATCAAATTGCCGAGAAGAAAATAATTAATTTATCAGTATACCATATTCTTGTTGACTGATATTGAACGAAAGTATTATTATATACATATGTAGGTAACAGTTGTTTTTTTAACTGAATGTTTTTCTACTGTGCTCTAATACTACTGTATATTCCGGCTACACCATGTGTCTGTTGATCAAGTGCACAAAGGCAGTCATGCCTTCTTCAAACAAACTTTACCGCGTGTATTTACGATATACAATGTACTTTGTTAATACGTGTATTTTATTTCACTGACGTATGGGTAGTCAACACACGGTGATTAAAATCAGCGGTCCCCCTTCCTATCCTTGTCCTCGTCCAGCCTTTTAAATAACTTTTTAAATATTTCCATATTATCCGAACTTATTTCCAGACTTCGGTCGACCATCCAGATTTAGAAATAACACACCTCACACAAGTTTACATTCACCATAACACACACGTACATAGAGATACATATGTATACTATGAGATTATATTTTACCTGAAAATTCAGCGACAACCTGTCCAGTAAAGCCGAGTATGACAGTACACAGAGCGTACAGGTGTGTAAATCTGGCCATTTCGTCTGTCTACCCCGCCATAGCCATCCACTCGCTACAACTGTATTGACACTGTATATGTAATACCTATATCGGTAGTAGTCCCGTTATTTGTTGATTGATATACTGTCACGTGACTAGACGTACCTGTACTTACCTGTCGACGAGATAAACAGATGAGTGATTACCTGAGTAATAACACGGGTGATTATGGCTTCATATTTTTTTTATCGGAGTGGCTTTAAAAGTCAACATAGTATTCACACACCCTAAACCTGGAATATAACTATATAGTGTCTGTTCGTTAATTAAGAAACAGTAATTATATCTATGGTTGAGTTGTCACTCACAGTAATTACCTTGTGTACATATTTAAACTTAGTACTTGTTGGTAAACGATTACTGAAGATAAAGTATACATAAGACACAAGTAATTAGCACATTTCAATACAATGTTAAAACAAGTTAGGCAGTAAATTGTGACATAATCTCCCTCGCCGACGACAATATATCAAGGTACAGCATGGTTACTGAGGTGTTAGGTTTTCACTGTGTATGGTCGATATTGGAGGTTTTCACCTTGTAAGGTTGATGAGGTTGGAGGTTTTCACCTTGTAAGATTGATGAGGTTGGAGGTTATCACTGTATATGGTCGATATTGGAGATTTTCACCTTGTAAAGTTGATGAGGTTGGAGGTTATCACTGTGTATGGTTGATGAGGTTGGATGTTATCACTGTGTATGGTTGATGAGGTTGGATGTTATCACTGTGTATGGTTGATGAGGTTGGATGTTATCACTGTGTATGGTTGATGAGGTTGGGTGTTATCACTGTGTATGGTTGATGAGGTTGGGTGTTATCACTCTGTATGGTTGATGAGGTTGGAGGTTATCACTCTGTATGGTTGATGAGGTTGGAGGTTATCACTGTGTATGGTCGATATTGGAGATTTTCACCTTGTAAGGTTGATGAGGTTGGAGGTTATCACTGTGTATGGTCGATATTGGATATTTCACCTTGTAAGGTTGATGAGGTTGGATGTTATCACTGTGTATGGTCGATATTGGAGGTTTTCACCTTGTAAGGTTGATGATGTTGGAGGTTATCACTGTATATGGTCGATATTGGAGGTTTTCACCTTGTAAGGTTGATGATGTTGGATGTTATCACTGTGTATGGTCGATATTGGAGGTTTTCACCTTGTAAGGTTGATGATGTTGGATGTTATCACTGTGTTTGGTCGATATTGGAGGTTTTCACCTTGTAAGGTTGATGATGTTGGATGTTATCACTGTGTATGGTCGATATTGGAGATTTTCACCTTGTAAGGTTGATGATGTTGGATGTCATCACTGTGTATGGTCGATATTGGAGATTTCACCTTGTAAGGTTGATGAGGTTGGATGTTATCACTGTGTATGGTTGATGAGGTTGGATGTTATCACTGTGTATGGTTGATGAGGTTGGTGTATCACTGTGTATGGTTGATGAGATTGGTATTATCACTGTGTATGGTTGATGAGGTTGGATGTTATCATTGTGTATGGTTGATGATGTTGGAGGTTATCACTGTGTATGGTCGATATTGGAGATTTCACCTTGTAAGGTTGATGAGGTTGGATGTTATCACTGTGTATGGTTAATGAGGTTTGATGTTATCACTGTGTATGGTTGATGAGGATGGATGTTATCACTGTGTATGGTTGATGAGGTTGGATGTTATCACTGTGTATGGTTGATGAGGTTGTAGGTTATCACTTTTTATCCTGCCACTGGCGCTTCCATTGTCGGAATACATATGCAACATTAAGTTTTGCTGCATTCGGCAGTGAGAGAAAACATCTCTATTATAGCATATACGTCAATTCGAGAGAATTTCTTTAAAACTACGTTTAACAAAACACGTAGCTGTTGAAATAAGGAATTGTTTATTTTGTAATAACAAGGTTATTAGCAGAATTTCATAAAAAAAAACCCTGTCATATTCGTTGAAGTTTTGAACTATATTTCTGTGCGGAGCAATTATTTTGTGTATGTCATCAGGCCGAATTCAGCGTAGCATCAACGTCTGGTAAGACTGAACGACAAAATATTAAGGTTTTGATGAGTCTGGTTTTCAGTCAGTTTTGCTGGATAAATAGAATACATGGTCAGTGTCTTAAAATATAAGTTGTATTTCGGCGTGGATTAAGACAGACAAAAGTGGCATGCCTCACTGTGTATGGTTGATGAGGTTCGAGGTTAGAGGTTATCTCAGTGTTTTGTCAATGAAGTTAGAGGTTATCACTAAGAATGGTTGATGAGATTTGAGGTTATCAAGTTCCTTTTGACAAGACAAGTCTTAATTCTTTTTCATTCAGTTTGGTCGTTTTAGTGACTGTAGAGCTTAATTTGGAAGTTAAAGGATTCAAAGAACTTCAATTCATTATAATATTTCTTTGGAATTTAATTTCTTGAAACCTTATAACTCAAGTAAATGCATGCTGTATATGATATCTTCTTTACAACAATCAATCCCCCTTATTATAACTTCTGGTCACCCAGCCCCACCTGTTGAAGACTTCAGCGATAAAGACCTACCTTTGCCAGTTGTATTAGACACAGCACCACCATTTAAATCACATTGTATTTTGTCATTTGTTCTTAACAGTCCTTGTAATTACTTTTTTGAAAAGCACTGATCCCCGGACGGAAGCCATTTTAGTTTTTTTTTTAACATTGATAGTTTGTTATCACCCTTTCTGGAGAAGAATTTGATGGATCATTCTCAGATTTTACTTGTACCATGGTTTCCCTCAGTCCCTAGTAATCGATAGTTTATCTTTGGACTTAGCATTTAAACAAACGGTTGACAGGTGATCATCTTGGGTATTTTGATAGTTGAAGTTAATTATCGTTATTTCTGCTGATGAACTCTAGTAGATTTTCTAGTAGTTTCGTATGTCTCCTCCACTTGCTCACTACTTCTACCATTTTGATTTTGGGACAGGTCAGATAAATTAAGTGGCTGCCAGGCCACCATTTAGGATTTCGACATTAGAAGTTTGTATTCAATATTACCATGGACTAGATGGATATAGATGTCTAAATCTGTGCTATCTCAAAAGAAGTATTCTGGATGGATCGTTTTCAAATTTTACCTGTATGTATCTCTTAAAACTTTATTTTGATCTTTGGACGTGCAAGACATACAGAATAGTCGAGAGGCGGTCATATTGGATTTGACCATTAACTATCGTTATTGCTATTTGTGAAAAGGAATTTTCAGATATCATTTAACTGAAAGGAAGAACAGTTGAAAGAATAGAAGAGAAGGGAAAAGATCTGAGCACTAAACATCGGTGGATACAAAGATCCCTCTGGGATCGTGTTATATATTCAAAACTAAATTGAAATATATAGTATATCAATAGAAAACCGCATAGTAATGTACCTAGGCATAGATACAGAACAATGTACCTAGGCATAGATACAGAACAATATACCTTGGCATAGATACAGAACATTGTACCCAGACATTGATACAGAACATTGTATCCAGACATAGATACAGAACAATGTACCCAGACATAGATACAGAACATTGTATCTAGACATAGATACAGAACATTGTACCTAGACATAGATACAGAACAATGTACCTAGGTATAGATACAGAACATTGTACCTAGACATAGATACAGAACAATGTACCTAGACATAGATACAGAACATTGTACCTAGGTATAGATACAGAACAATGTACCTAGACATAGATACTGAAAAATGTACCTTGAAATTGATGCAGTATAGTATAGCTAGGCAGGAAACTGTATCTATCTAAATTTTAATTTGTGAAATTAAAGCAGATAAAATTGCAACATGTTACACAGATAAAATTTCAGGTTAATATAAAACTAATAACAATTGATGCTCGTGTCTTCAAAAAACAAAACATTTAATCTCCAAAATCCACAAGGTTCCATGAGGCCAACCTACATATACATATATAACAGTTGCATGTTGTCAAGAAGGAATATTGAAAAACGAAAGTCTGAGAGAAGATAAAACAAGAAACAAACAACATGAATGGACACACTTTATCTCATCCATCATTCAAATCTTTAATACAACACTCTGATCACAAAATCAGAAAAAAACATGGAATATGGAAATCACCAATGAGATCTAACTTACAGTTCACATACTGTAATAATAAAACCACATATAATACATGTGGTCATTTAAAGCCCGTACTTTAATGCTTCAGTCATAAAGGAGATCTTTCATTATAATTCTCTACAATTTTAACAAATGTAAAAATGACAGATCCTAAAAGACACAAAGTAAAAGAAAACCTGGCAAATTTTCGGCAATATAGAGTGTTCTTTTATACTAGAGGCTGTTATTGGACTGTTCTCGTTCAAACTGGCCACTGCCTATATCTATGGTTTTGTTTTTACAAGCAGGGTCTCTCTTTGACAGAACCATCAGGTTTTAATGGTCTACCTCCACTCCCTCCACAACCTCAAGGGCTGAAATAATGACATAAAACTATGGATCATTGAAGCAAACAGAATATACGGCACATCCAGTTACTGTAACACATGCTGACGTAAGAATCTACATCCATTTTAAAAATTAAAGAAATTTAATAATACTACGGCGAAGATAAAAACGATTCACAGAGACTGCAGAAAGAGTTCAAGGAGAGGACCAGGTGTGCCGGAAAAGCAGCCCAAACACACAAAATATTGACCTTGACCTTAGTCACATTTAGCACTATCCCTAAAGAAAACTGCCTCCATAACAGCATTGTTAAACATTTACCCGTATCTAAAACGCTTACAAGACCTGAACCTGCCAGCCAATAGATAAAACTTCTTATCTGATTCTGACCAACATGGCTTCATAATATCTGAAATGAATGTTTAGCCTGCACATTACATACCAATTCATGTGAAGTATTAGATGTGTCAACTATATAGTTTGATTTATGTGATGTACTTCATAATTTCTTTGATCATTTATCTGATACAGGCACTGAGATCACTTGCGAGGTGATCTAAAAATAACCATTGTGCTTATCAAGTTGCAAGTTTTGTCAGAATTTAGTAAAGAGACATCATACCCATCCCATAATACTAATGGTTCTCGAACCACAACTGGTCTGGGTCATCTGAAGGTAAGATGGATTATGAACTACAAGAATTAATAACTGGTCATAAATTACTGGTCGCATTTGTATAATTAAGAAGATTTTTGCTTGGACGGACAAGGGTATCTATGCCCCCACATAAAATCAAGGGGACCTTAAAATCATATACGGTACTTGATAATAAGTAAGAATTTTCTTAATTGGACGGACAAGTCAATATAAAATAGTGGGGATATAATAACATATTCTTAATAACTAGTTTGAAAGATTTTCAAGTTTGGACGGACAAGGATAACTATGCCCCATCATAAAATTTGTGGGGACATTAAAATCATATTCTAATATTAATTGACAGATTTTTGTTTGGACGGACAAGGGTAACACTATCATATCAACTTTTTCTAAACATATTTACATTGGTATATTCTTAAAAAAATTGACATATACAGTGTACTTCATACCAAAAACCATTCTATCAAAAATTATTTCATTCATTTTCATATTTAAATTGATGATCTTTAAAGCTTAGATTTTTCAATGAAACATTAAAACATCAACAGCAGTGAGAAATCAGTGTAATACTAAGGAATCACAGACCTAGTACGAGACCTGTGTGACATTACAAGATGTCACTGATCTAGTATGATGCCTGTGTGACATTACAAGATGTCACTGATCTAGTACGAGACCTGCGTGACATTACAAGATGTCACTGATCTAGTACGAGACCTGCGTGACATTACAAGATGTCACTGATCTAGTACGAGACCTGCGTGACATTACAAGATGTCACTGATCTAGTACGAGACCTGTGTGACATTACAAGATGTCACTGATCTAGTACGAGACCTTTGTGACATTACAAGATATCACAGATCTAGTACGAGACCTGTGTGACATTACAAGATGTCACTGATCTAGTACGAGACCTGTGTGACATTACAAGATATCACAGATCTAGTACGAGACCTGTGTGACATTACAAGATGTCACTGATCTGGTGCGAGACCTGTGTGACATTACAAGATATCACAGATCTAGTACGAGACCTGTGTGACATTACAAGATGTCACTGATCTAGTACGAGACCTGTGTGACATTACAAGATATCAAAGATCTAGTACGAGACCTGTGTGACATTACAAGATGTCACTGATCTAGTACGAGACCTGTGTGACATTACAAGATATCACAGATCTAGTACGAGACCTGTGTGACATTACAAGATGTCACTGATCTAGTACGAGACCTGTGTGACATTACAAGATGTCAAAGATCTAGTTCAGGACCTGTGTGACATTACAAGATGTCACTGATCTAGTACGAGACCTGTGTGACATTACAAGATATCAAAGATCTAGTACGAGACCTGTGTGACATTACAAGATATCACTGATCTAGTACGAGACCTGTGTGACATTACAAGATATCACTGATCTAGTACGAGACCTGTGTGACATTACAAGATGTCACAGATCTGGTGTGAGACCTGTGTGACATTACAAGATATCACAGATCTGGTGTGAGACCTGTGTGACATTACAAGATATCACAGATCTGGTGTGAGACCTGTGTGACATTACAAGATGTCACAGATCTGGTGTGAGACCTGTGTGACATTACAAGATATCACAGATCTGGTGTGAGACCTGTGTGACATTACAAGATATCACAGATCTGGTGTGAGACCTGTGTGACATTACAAGATATCAAAGACCTAGTACGAGACCTGTATGACATTACAAGATATCACAGATCTGGTGCGAGACCTGTGTGACATTACAAGATATCACAGATCTGGTGTGAGACCTGTGTGACATTACAAGATAATCACTGATCTAGTACGAGACCTGCATGACATTTAAAGACTTTAGTTCTATTTGTTTCAAAGCCTATTCCTGTACACAAAGGGAAAAATAACCCACCAAAGGGAAGTGGCTACTACAGATACACCAACATATTCAACATAACAGGATTGATACATTTTCAAAATCAACACAGTTAAAGTATCTATGATCCTTACATTCTAAAATTCTGGTTTTCAAATTATAAGTACTGGTCGCCATTTTGATTCTGATTATCAGTAACTCTGGGTGAAGGAAATGAAAAAGGAAATTATCACGTGAAAGTTAACATGTATATGTATACATGTGGGACTGAAAAAAAATGAAAAATTTTGAAAACGCAGCATGTACATAAATACATGTGGGACTAAAAAGAAAAGCAAAAAAAATTGAAAACACAGCATTCTATATACAAAACAAAATGTAAAGAAAAGCAAACACCTTGTTAGATATGTACAAGGAAAATATCACCATCTGATTTTATTGGGACAGACAAAGTAAAAAAAAAATGCTGATTTTCCCTTGAAGGACATGCACATTGTTTGGATGTGTGATTATACCTGCAGGAATCACACAGCGATTAATCAGGGGAACTATTTGATCTAACTATGGCCTTCTTTTTTATTTACATAGGGAATACCTATTGGCATTTTGAAATATGACACCATGGATCTTTATCTTCAAATATAAAGCCAGTATCTTGGATTATATGAGCTTTCGTTTCTTACTTCCTCATATGAAAAAAAAAACTTTGTCCCTATTATGACATCACAATCAATTATTGACACAGCCAATGAAAAATGCTCAAGGGTATATTACGCTGGTGATCTATGCAAATATAATGCATGGACAAATTCAGAGGATTGGTGGGATGAATGAGGTAGTGGTGTTGCCAAGCTAATAAAATGGCATACCCCTTAAATATCAAAGATTTTCAAGAGCTGTTTGTATATAGCAAAGCATACCATGGTATTTTGTTACTGAATGAGAGGTTAAGGTCATAGGTTAAGGTCAAAGTTCAACCTGTTTGGATCAGTACAACAATATGAACATTTCTGAAATATTGCAGCAAAACTACAAAGCAAAAGTGTCATTCCCCTTAAAAATCTACTTTCCAAATTAAAAAAAGAAAAGATTTATGTTCACTCCGCAAATTGAATCACACAACCTAAAACTACCCTCAAACCAAATATCAGCATCCTAATATACACTCAGACAAACTTTGTTAATTCGAACTCGGATGAATACCTCGCTTAACTCGAAGTACTTTGTCAGTCCTGGGAAAATTCTCTCGTCTTAGTAATAAAAACATGGAAAGCTCAAATAAGGAAAACTTGATACACTCTGATATTTCGTAAGTAAAAAATTTCGTCCCTGGGATCAAATTACTATATAAAAGTACCTCTTAACGTCAAGTTTTACCTTTTAGTTGTTCAGCAGCACATTGGACATCAAACGGAGTGGTATGACAGACTGAATCTCAGTACTTTATCACAGGGCACCCAATGTCACTGTATTTATATAAATACACAACAGCAGTATTTCATTTCTTGCAGTAAAACTTAACCAAGAAAGTGATGAAGTCGGAAAAAATGTCAAACACCAATTAAGAAATAAAATTCCCCCACCTCTCCTACATTAATCATATAATCCACAAAATGACTGTTGAACTTTATAAAAGATGTGGATTGCTAAATATTCATGTACATATTTGTACTACTGAAAACCTATGGGGACAATAAAATTACAATACATTTTTTTTTTTTTGTCATGGATAGGCTTATTACAAGACAAATATGGTAATTTGATTGAAGATAATTAAACCAAAGGCATCCTGGTATCACTTAACAGTAGAGAAACTTTAATAAAACTATTTGTAAGATGTTCATCTCTACCAGATCAGATGTCTAATTTCCCTTTCAGTGCTCCTGACTGGTTTATCAGGCGAAAAGAAAAAAAAAGTAATAGATCTTACGTTCTAAGCAGTATTTCTCCAATTAATACAGTGAAAAAAATATAGTGATGTATCTTGAGAAAATTGTTTGGAAATATTATGCATAAATTGAAAAAAATTATTTAAGTACTTACATGATACCTACAATAACTATGGACAGTTTGTTTGCTGGGTATATCGTCCCTTGGGTTATTTAGAGGCAGGGTTTTCTTGTAGTATCAGGTGGATATCTAACTGAACAACATACAGGAGGCCCATTGCTTGCTGTCCAGCTCTAGCAATTAGGGTGGAGGGTCTTGCCTAAGGTTATAACAAATTAGTGTCGGTGAAACACTGTATTTACTATGTACAATACAATAAGTTAATTTTTTAGTGGCTGTGTAACACTATTTACTATGTACAATACAAGTAGTTACTTATTAGCGGCTGTGTAACACTGCAGTTACTATGTACAATACAATAATTGACTATCACCAGATATTCCTTATATGCTGTACACTCGGCACATGGCAAGCCAATTATGTGGACTTCTGCAACTAAATCAGGCAATCTGTGGGTGTTTTAAAGTAACCTTCATGGCAAGAACATAGAGTCAGACTTTATCATTATCTGAAGAAATCTAGACTATATCAACGTTTATAAAACAAGAGTATCAGATGTTTTTTCAAACGGATATGTTGTGACTATAGAAGTATCATAAAGACTGCAAATTCTGCAGTATTATCAATTTTGCAGGTCAATGTTCAATTATTTACTGTTGCTTGAGACTAATAATTTCTGGTGCACAAACTAACCACCAATCTGGACACTTATAACTAATATCTATAGACAGGGCTCTCGATCTGCCAGATTCCCAATGCAAAATAGTATCTTTCTTCTCCCAATTTAGACCCCAAGTTTTCCCAATTCTAAGGAACACACAGCTATTTTTCCCAATTCTAAGGGCCCCGAGCCCCAGTCCCAAAATGGGGCGTGAGAGCCCTGCTAGATACTTTTCATAGAATTAACTGTCAAAAATATCTATCCATCACAGTATAGATGTACTTAACACATGTATCACAGCCAATAAAGTTTGGTCAGAGTTGTAAATCCATGTATGTAACAGATATAGGTACTCAGACTGGTTCTTATACCAGACTTGTGAAGCATCTGTCAAATTTAACATTCCATGTAGGAGTCAATAGAGACTGGTCCCAGAATGACCTAATAAAGTATTATACATTTTCCTGTCTTAAGTCAACACACCCAGACAGAGGAAACCCACTGTGCCCCATGCTTATTGTAAGATGGTAAAGTGTAGCAAATTAGGCATTAGTAATCAAGACCATAAGCTGCTTTTCGGAAATTCTTTGGTCTTTCACTTGATGTGCCAGTGGTCGGGTTTATATCCAACACAGGTTCAAAGTGTTCATTCTTGTTACAAATGTATATGGCAGGTTGATTAATATCTGGATTATCGAGAGGTTTGAATGTCTGCCATCGGTATTCAGTGATGCTATTGATCCTACACGGAAAAAACACTTCCACGACAGATTTCAGCATCGTTGCTGTAGCGAGAATCTCGACATCAGTGGCCCACTCTTTCGGTCGTCTCATGTTGGTGAGGTACTCACTCATACCACCACGACTCATGAGAAAGGTTCGATACATATCTGGATGATCACTCACATGTTTTGTTATCAACTCGCGCACACGCAAATGTTCACTTTCACTGCCAGTGATGATAACGCTGATAGCGCGAAAGAAACAATTACCGTCTGCTCGGACTGGTATTGTTTGATTAGGTGGTGACTTGTCATAAAAGGTCTTACGAGGACCATATTCAAAATACGTCTTCACACGAAGTTTGAACATTTCAGCTTTTTCATGTTGCCACCTTTTGCTGACTGGGAAAAACTGTTTCTTATTTCCCAAGTCATTTTCTTTGAGAGGTTCCTCTTGACGTGGCGTCTTCTGAGCTACTGCTACCTTAGCTGCTTCAGGATCAAAAGGGCGATCAAAGTCTACAATAGGCCCTTTTCTTGGACGGCGTGGGTCCCTCCAACTCATGACTGGCTACGTCATATGTTTTCGATGGGTATCAAGAATATTCCATTCCGTTCAAATCTGAAAGAAAGAAATTTATTAATCATAACATATATCTGTTGTGGAAATTTAAATATACAAGGTCTCACTATGAAACAAAATATCCAGCTAACAAGGTTCTATTGTGTTAAAACTACCAAGGCTCCACTTTACACATAAAGTACCCAGACTAACAAGGTTCTACTGTACACACAAAGTGTCCTGATTAACAAAGTTCTACCGTACACACAAAGTGTCAAACTAACAAGGTTCTACTGTACACACAAAGTGTCCAGACTAACGAGGTTCTACTGTACACACAAAGTGCACCGACTAACAAAGTTCTACTGTACACACAAAGTGTCCAGACTAACAAAGTTCTACTGTACACACAAAGTGTCCAGGCTAACAAGGTTCTACTATACACACAAAGTGTCCAGGCTAACAAGGTTCTACTATACACACAAAGTGTCCAGACTAACAAGGTTCTACTGTACACACAAACCAAAGTGTCAAGACTAACAAGGTTCTACTATACTCACAAAGTGTCCGGACTAACAAGGTTCTACTGTACACACAAAGTGTCAGACTAACAAGGTTCTACTGTACACACAAAGTGTCCAGACTAACAAGGTTCTACCGTACACACAAAGTGTCCAGACTAACAAGGTTCTACCGTACACACAAAATGTCCAGACTAACCAGGTTCTACTGTACAAAGTGTCCAGGCTAACGAGGTTCTACTGTACACACAGTGTCCAGACTGACAAGTTTCTACTGTACACACAAAGTGTCCAGACTAACAAGGTTCTACTGTACAAAGTGTCAGACTAACAAGGTTCTACTGTACAAAGTGTACAGACTAACCAGGTTCTACTGTACAAAGTGTCAGACTGACAAGTTTCTACTGTAAAAATGTCTAGAGTAATGATATAACAAATTTGAAGTATCCCAAATATATAACGGTATTTTTTTTTAGCAAACAATACATTGCTGTACAATTAGAGCATCATTTTACAAATGTTAACAGAAAGTCTCTTAATATTTCCAACGTCCTCATACTCGAACGTGTATATATATTACCATCTCTGCCAATCGCTGTCCACAGCCATTAAACTGCAGTCTAATGTGTCTCCTTAAATTGACGAAATATTATCCTCTGTTGACATTTATCGGTAATGGTCGCCACTTCCTTTCAGCATGCGCAGTAACACGGTACCGTGAGATCACCTGTGTACACGTTAAGACCTGTCAATCATGTACTAAATACAGGTGTTACGTTACACTCGATATAGGTCATACCATATAGACTTTTCGATCTGAGACTGGTTTATTTTTTATTTTACTCTCCTGATTTGAGCGATTTATGTGTCCGTGATATAATAATTAACAATTATTTTCAATAATTCGTTATTTTACCAAGGACTTAAGATAATTTATAAGTGCGGGATTTAACTAAATCTATCAAAAAATTGAACAACGATGACCCCTAAAATACATTTTTGTTATTCTTTGAATTACCTTATAAACAATCATTGATCAGTATTTGATAACCGATCGCATGGTGTGTTTATCAAACATAACAGAATATATATATATCTAGTGAGTGATTTAGACGGTATGGTCCAATATTGGTACTGAATGCTAACAAACAAATGTAAAGTAAGGTTCCTTGGATGCGTATTACTAGAATAGATATTTGATCAATGAATTAATAACGACAGTACGGACACGTGAATTGTCAAATTTTCGAGGCAACCTGCCCACTTTTCAAGATACAAATATTACATAAATTACGTAACATACTTAGAACATGAACTTGTTACAAAGTTATAAATCTAAATCGAGAGCGGTGGTGTAGATTTAGATGTCTCGATAATTCCTCCGGCCGATGGACCCCGGAGGCCCTTTAAAGGGGACAGAAACACCTTTTGTGGTATGAAAGATGGTGATAGGTACTTTAAAATCATCGTCTTAAAATATGACTTACTATTTTAATCTTTTGTGATAACATCACCATTTAAGAATTTTAGCATTTGTCTTTTACCTTTTAGTTTGTCTGATGTTATTTCCTTTTGGATCGCCTTATCTTTCACCGGTTGATGACCCTAATGACCTTTTATGTCTTGACGGGCCGTTAAGAATGTAATAATAATAATAATAATAAAACAATGTCCTCAGAACCATGTAAAGATCTCGTATGGTTTCATTTACACCTAATTTCTACGTGAAAGTATTTGATAGAGAACCATGACATATGTCCTTGATCATGGTCATAACCTACCTCTGATCAATAATGTAAGCTTACTAAACATCACTCATCCATTAGCTCGGCATGGTTTTAATATGAATAACATTGCATAGCTAGAATTTTCAGATGTATGTTATAGAAAGTGTCACAAGCATTAATAAGACACAGAATTAGTTACATAAATGTGTTGTTCAGTGCGAATTAAACATTCATGTGAATTGGCTTTATCACGTGTAGCCAATGGTCGTTTGGAGGCGTATCATATTTGGAACAAATACATCATATTGATTACTTTACTTTTATGTTTACTGTTCGACGTTTTTTTTATTTTAATTATTAATGAGATGGCGGTTACAGTTAATAAAATCCAGTCTCACCCGGTACCGTTTACAGGCTTTAGTGTTTGATAAAATCTTTCTAATCAAGTCTGCATTTTACTTCTAAAAAAATCCGATTTGAAATATTTATGTACCATTTACTGCGTGGTGTAGAAAACGCAGAATATTACTGACTAGAGCGTCCCTTATGTGTCGAATTTAGAAACATCTCTAAAATGAAACATAATTGTAAACATCGACAGATTTGTTATTGTTTGTTTCCCTCGTGCTAATAACGAACAAGAGGCCCATGGGCCTTAACGGTCATCTGAAAAAAAGCAAGCCAAACTCTAACAACAGTGAGTCTGCCGTTAAAACAGTGGGCTTTATTAATTTGAATAAACTTGGTAGCCCTTCCTACCAGCATCCTACAGGCCCAATATCAGCACTCTGAGCCTTTTGGTTACTGAGAAGAAGTCGTTTACAGATTTTAACATATTTGAACCCTGTGATCTTGAAAATGGGTCAAGGTCATTCACTTGAACACATTTGGTAACACTTCCTCAAAGCTTCCTACAAGCCCAATATCAGCACTCTTATCATTTTGGTTATTGAGAAGTCATTTGCATATTTTAACACATTTGACCCCTGTGACCTAGAAAGTGGGTCGAGGTCATTTATGTGAACAAACTTGGTAGCCCTTCCTCCAAACATCCTACAGGCCAAATATCAGCACTCTTGGACTTTTGCTTATTGAGAAGAAGTCGTTTGTATATTTTAACATATTTGACCCCTGTGACCTTGAAAGTGGGTCAAGGTCATTCATTTGAACAAACTTGGTAGCCCTTTATCTCAGCATCCTACAGACCCAATATCAGCATTCTGAGCCTTTTGGTTGTTGAGAAGAAGTTGTTTAAAAATTTTAACATATTTGACCCCTGTGACCTAGAAAGTGGGTCGAGGTCATTTATTTGAACAAACTTGGTAGCCCTTCCTCCAAGCATCCTACAGGCCCAATATCAGCACTCTTGGACTTTTGCTTATTGAGAAGAAATCGTTTGTATATTTTAACATATTTGACCCCTGTGACATTGAAAGTGGGTCGAGGTCATTCATTTGAACAAACTTGGTAGCCCTTCATCCCAGCATCCTACAGACCCAATATCAGCATTCTGAGCCTTTTGGTTGTTGAGAAAAAGTTGTTTAAAAATTTCAACATATTTGACCCCTGTGACCTTGAAAGTGGGTCAAGGTCATTAATTTGAACAAACTTGGTAGCCCTTCCCCAAGCATCCTACAGACCCAATATCAGCCTCCTAGTCCTTCTAGTATTTGAGAAGAAGTTTTTTGAATGAAAAGTTTACAGACGACGCACGGCGCTCGGCGGACAACGACGGACGAAGCACGATGTGTGTGTTTTTTTTTTTAAATTATCTTATTAGTTCGAAGAAAAATTATAGCATTCAAAATATTTTAATCATAGTTATAACTAATTGTGGACAGCAAGCACGGAGCTCAGCTAGCCCGGGAGTTTTACTTATCCGAAAGTTGCCTGGACATTATATGTGTGTTGCGGTCCACTTTTCACTAAGCTGGCTAACTCCATGTGTTATTTTCAAATTTCTTTAACATTTTCATCAAAACTTAAATACACCCGGACTACATTAAAAAGTTATTGTTTTAGATAAATTAAATTCAAGGAAAATTTGGCAGCAAGTAATTATTCTACAAGATAATATTGTATTTACACATTATACAAGCATAATCGGTACAATCTTTAATTTCATACTGTTTTCTTTAAGTCTACAAAGTAAGGAACAGATCAGTGATTTGTGGGATATTGAGAACCATTAACAATTTTGTTTTTCTAGATTGTTTACACTTTCGCGAAATAATCATGGAATCACGATACGGATGAAAGTTCGTTATGAGTCAATTTTCGCAATTTCATAATGTCATAAAAAAATACAAAGTGAAGAAGAGCAATCGAATATACACCATTGGTTTCACGCGAGCCGTAAACACAGAATTTCTGTTTCTTAATTTGGTAAACCGATTTATGTAATGCATGACGCTTTCATTTTAAAAAAAACTGACAAAAGTTTTAAAACATTTTTATATCAAGTCCTACCTTACTCCTATACAGAAACAAGTGTGATGTAACAGGTCTCCATACAGGCCACATCCTTCAATTCGTTTCTGTATTATAAGAATTCCTTTTTCTTACTCATATCTCTGATAAAATTACCTCGAAGTACTTCATATACAGAAACGAAGCTTTCTACTTTTGCCAGTACAGAGGAACCCACTTAATGTCACGCTTTTTAATGTCACTTTCGGGTTAATGTCACGTTTTCTTGAAACACCGATTTTTCGGATAAAGTTGAAGCTAACGGAATGATGGACACTATGCCAACTTTTAAAAAGTTTAAAGCTAACCTGCCTTTCAGGAGTGTCAGCTAAAAACAAACAAAATGATTTCAATCAATTTCTTTCCAAATAAAAATTTATTAATAAACAGCATGTAAAACACTGTCAAAAGTCTAACAATACAAAGTGCTGAGTTTTAACCACAATAAAAACATGATGAATAAATTAATATATAAAGAGTTCAATATTTACCAGGTATAGCTTCAAGATTAATGTTTAATTTCTTTTACTTCTGAATAAGAATCCTGATTAAAAACTATTTTTTTTTGTTTTATAAACTCTGTGACTTGTTTTACATATTTATATATAGGCTTACAACCAAATGTGAATTTGTTGCAATTTCTAGTAAAGAAATAATTTGTCAGTGCATATTGAAACATTTTCATGACAATGTCTGATGCAGTTAATGAAAAATTCTCCAGGGTCTATTATAAATACATTGCAATAGCGACTTATCTAAAAATGTTACAAGGCAGAATGGCCTAAATAACAGACAGACAAAGGAATGAATACATATATTTACCTTTCCACAGAGACGGCACTGATGGTAAATAACTAACCATGAAAATCTTCTACATGAAACCATTTCACTGATTTCAAATCTAAGACAAGAAGAAAAATTGAAGTATGACTAGCATTAAAATCAGTTTCATTGTCATTCCAATGTAACAGAAATGTGTCATTTTTCCATAATGATGGAAAATAATTTAAAACCTTCACAAACTGTCAGCACTTTAAATGTTGAATATCCAGGTATAAAAACAGTGATCATACAAAATATAAAAAAAGAATTTGGTAGACCAAGTAGGTATCATTAAAGCACACAATTCATTAAAGATTAACAACATTCCTTTATGTTACCTATAGTTTCACAAGTCCTCGATAAAATGAAATCAAACCTGAGTCTGTATCAGTCAGGCTTAAATTGAAAGTAAAAATTACATGACTGCGTATAGAAGTACTAATTTAATGAGGAATTGCACTTAATAACATCAATGGCTTAACATTAGACAATAATTTAAATGTTTCTAATTAAACAAATATTAAAATTGATTATATCAACTGAAATAAAAAGTTGATAATTTCCATTGAAACATTTTTTCAATTAAGGACCAATTTTTTTTTTCAATATTTTTACAATAACTCATTGATGATGGACTTGAAAGACTTCATGTCTAATGATCAAGCATGAATATTGTAACACAAGCCAATAGCGAAATCATTGATCAATGAACATCAATGGTGAACTATATCCATACAAAGGGAGAGATTTTGTATCAAAGGAGACCTCTATTGTTATATGAATAATGGGTAAATGATATGTACATGTACGCTGGGAATCTCTAATGAAGCAAAATTTCACAGCATTTTTCACTTATACTGCTGATAAATATTACAGCTGACATGTAACAGTAAAATGTTACAATAAAAAAATATGTAAAAAGAACTGAAAGAGATTTTCAATTTAAGAAGGTCATGGGATACATTTCTAACTGATCTGTAGAAAAAAAAGTATCTAAAGATTTATCCAGTATTTATAATATACATTGTAAGACAAGTTCAACAGCATGATAAGTACAATTTAAGTTTTGAGGGCACAGTCAATTATCTTAATTCAGACATATATCAGCAAATTTATAACAAAAAGAAATGCCTATAAGGCAACGATTGTCATAGATTTATGAAAATAGGTTACTTTCTATAAATAGTAGCGTGACCTTGTAACACCAACAACTCATCTCAAGAGATTCTTGATCTTTGTACCAAGGTTACAAAAAAAAATGCGAAGAGCTGAAAGTCATTCAGAGTGATATAAACTGTAGCATTGATTTGATAAGGACGGGCACATATGGGTAAAAAATAAAGACAAAAAAAAACACAAAAAATATAGAGCACAACCTTTTGTTCCGCCGAGAATGCTCTGATAATGTAAATGTATCATAAGAAATATTTTCCATCTGTCCAGCAGATTTCTGTTTTTTCTTTTATTCTATTTCTACAAAAATAGTGAACTAAAATCAAAATTAAACAGTAATGATCTGTATAGATTTAAATTCCTATCACTATTTTTCTGTCAGAAAGAAATGTGCTGTAATATTGAATGGGGTGGGGGAGCAAAAAGACAGGGAGAAAGATATTGACCATCAAACAATGGAGAGTAACAGTTTCTAATGCCAAAATTTCCAAGTAAGGAAAGATTGGATGAAAATAGACTGAATTGACAGTTCAAATTTTTCTAGATTTGCTTCCGAAATAGAATCTAGTTTCAATGAGTACAGTCTAGCAGAAAAATAAATTGTACTATGACATGTAGTCCCATCAAGAAGCAAACATGGGGTAGTAACACTACACATCCTTGTAAGAAAAGACAGGAAGAAAGATATCTACAACCAAACAAGGGGCAGTAACTCTATACATCCTTGTAAGAAAAGACAGGAAAAAATATATTTGCTATACAACCAAACAACGGGCATAAAAAAACTCACTCAGATCTATAGTTTAAGAAATGTTGTACATATTGATGTGAAGAGGTTACAAGACTGAGATGATAAACCCTCAGGATATACATAATAATGATAATATCTACAAGATAAAATATCCACAGCCATGTATTAAGCACCAAACTGAGCAAGCATCCTAGTGTAGCCAACAGAGAGATTTCATCAATTCACTTCGCTCCAATGTTGCTGCGTAAACAAGTCTAATAGAGATTCATTTAATCAATTTCTGCTGTAACATATACAGACTTCAAAAGCTCTGGATTATTAAAATTATAACATAGACAAACATAATTTAGTCTAAGATATCATCCATATATATGTCTTTGTAAATCTGTACAACACTCCTCTCCTAAAAGGCAATATAATACTGTGAAGGCTTCAAATGACTATTTTAGAAAAATAAATTGAGAAAACCACAGTCTGGTTCATGATTTCCTTCAAAAAAGTACATTTTTTTCATTTATTTTATTTAGAAAAGCACAAAAGATTCATTAAGAAAAAATGTTAAAGAATGTTTAGAGTATGCTAAGGCAGGTTAGACAAACACAACAGAGGAATCAATCCTAGATCTGAATATCACAACACTAACATATCCCAAATATAGATGACAATCGAGTACTGAAGATCATGTGACTATCGGTACATCTCATTAGACCTCTAAGCACGTTGATTGGATAAAATGAATACTTAATGTTACAACCAGTAGAATTCCTATAGATAGGAATTTATTTCAGCAAAGCTACTTGGGCATCCGGGAGAAAGAAGAAAATATAAATGTACAAGAGATCCCTGTGGGATTTTAGCATTCACCACTTTATCTAAATAGATATGTTCCTATCTCTATATCACTTAAAACTTTTCATTTCTTGCCTTTACTTGCTCTTTTGTCAACCATTTTGCTTTTCCCTGTCTCTACCAAATTGGCACAACTTGACAGCAAAGGGAAACTTACAAAGGAAATTTGAATATGATTCATAAAATTTCTCTCAAAAACCAGCAATAACAAATTTTAGCTATCAAAATCCAAGATGGCAACATGTTGGCAATCTTTTTTCTAATCAATCTAATATCTGATTATGCATAACAAGGGGCGGTGCAAAGTTTGCATATGAAATGTGAGAAAGGCTCATCAGGTTCTTCTCAGGAAACAGAGATAAACTTCAAATGTCAAAATCCAACATGGATAAGAAATAACAAGAAATAGCAATAATAATTTTTTTCTAAAAATCAGACTAAATTCAAGATGGCCGTTTTTCAACCTATTTTTTAATTACATTAATGATCAATCGGATACCTGGTAAAGATGTGTTCAGAAATGAAAAAAGAGAATAAACTTTCAGTCCTTTTTAAGAAACGACGATAACATGGATTGTTATCAAGCAGATCAACAGTTGGTAATCAATGAAAGGTCATCTGGAAAACCACAACCTAATGATAGTGTGCTAAAAATATGACATTCAGTGAAAAATGACCATGGTTGAGAAAAAGAGGAGAAAATATACTCAATTTATTACAAATAAAAGAAGATGAGGTGAAGGCATAGAGTGTTACATCAACAGAATTAGGATACCATCTATTGGTATTTATGTAGCTAGAGCTTTTTTCACAATATCTACTGTCAGAAATTTATTTATCATTAACAAGATTTGAACAGCTGGTACAACTTTTCAATTTGGTTGCATTACTGTCAAGCTATGGCAATATATATGGCATTATATTGTCAAAATTTCTCACAACATTTCATTGCCACAAGTATCTAAGACAAATTGTTAAAAAGGAGAGTAACTTTCAAACAGCATGCCATCAAGTGGATGTACATAAGTACGATGTAATTACATATGTACATATCAAAGGGAAATAACTTGCCAAGGATCGAGATATCAAATATTCCTGCAATAAATACCAATATAAATAATCCATATACAATTTACTGAGTAATAAAAACATAAAATGCTGTCCATTATCAGCATGTTGGGTTTTCGTTCACAACCTGGGTTCTTGGGAGCTGTGAGAAAACTACAGCCTCTCCGCTCCTCAATCTGTTTTCGGAGGAAGACTCATGTGCTGTATCTGTACCTTCTGGTTCACTCCTGTCTGACTGTGCAGGTGCCTCAGAGAGACCTGGAGATTCCAGGTTATTTACTAACATTGTCTGTGTAAGGCGTTGTTTCTTGAGTTGTCTTTTCCTGATTATGATGATCACCACCAGGGCAACGACTGACAAGGCCAGCAGGGGAACTAACACTCCTACTGCCACTTTGGCAGCATTGTTCACTAAAAAACCCAAAAGTGGAATAAAGATTTAGTTTATTTGTAGTCCCAGACCTTGTAGCACCATTCAACAAAACAGAATTGATCAAAGATTGAGCCATTTCCAAATACTGACCTCGTGACACCTTCCAATAAAACCAAATTATCATGTAATCAAAGATGTTGTTGTCTCCACATTCTGATCTTGTGGCAACATTTACTAAAACAGAATTACCAAGTAGTTGTCTCCACACTGATCTCCACAGTGTCACACAGAGACATGCTGTTTACAGAAATGATTACCACAGTCAGACAGAGATGTGTTCTTTACAAAACTTATTAACAGTCAGAAAGAGACACATTATTTACAGAGCTGATTAAAACAGAGTCAGATAGAGACAATGTTCTGTACAGAACTGATCACCAAACAGTCAAACAGTTGTTTTTGGAGCAGTACTTACATGTAGCACAATTTTCAGTGATCAGATTCAGCTTTTCATCCATAAAATCAACTCTGCCCTCTTTTTCCGAAATAAAATCAATCTGGAAAAAATAATAACAAACATCTACCTAAGAAAAATACACAATAGTTTTAATGCCAAATCCTGTTTGTGCTAAAAAAAACTTTCATGTACAGACAACCTATGATGTCAATGGTAACAACCTTTTCTTTCTGTCAGTAACATATTGTGCCCACATCAATTTATCAGTTACAAACATTGTGGGCTTATCAATTCATCAGAATTCAGGCACAAATATTGTGGACACATTGATTCAACAGTATTCAGTTACAAACATTGTAAGTCATTAATTCATCATTATTCATCTAAAACACTGAGGGGACATCATTTCATCAATATTCATTTACAAATATTATGAGCACATCAATTCATCAGTGTGCATTTAAAAAACTAAGGGCACATGAAGTCATCAGAGTTCAATTACAAACATTGTGGATTTAATGATTCATCAGAATTCAGGTACAATTTTGTGAACACACCATTTCATTAATATCAGTGTCCAAAAAAAGCAAAACTTAAGCCAGAACAAACTTCATAAATTCACAGTAAAATTTCCTCTAATAGAGCTGTATTTCTATGACATATCTACACAAATAGTTTTTTTTATTTAGTATTTACAATGACACACTTACATTGACCCGATATTTTCTGGCATCTGTGTAACCTTGTTGTACAGTTATGAATACTTCTTGATCAAATCCATCAACTGGTTTCCTCTCCACCTCCCTGTCGAAAGTTCTTTTCCAGTCCACGGCAGGATTTTTACACTAAAATATAACCATGTAATCTTAATGCATCATCAAACAATGAGTCTTACTTGCCAACCTTTTTCCCCTACAGTTATTTCTTAAGAAATTCTCTCAAATTCAATATTAAATCTCCATAAAAGTAGATTATTTTCCATTGACTTTCTAGTGAGAAACGTCTTATTGAAATAAGTGAGAGCTGTCCCAAGAGTGGCAGACTTATACCTGTTACTCTGCTATTAAGGCTAACTACACTGGGAAATACAAAAATAGAAAATTTTTCGTCATAACAGAAATTCCTTCTATTAACACCAGGTAAGCTCTATTTTTCATGAATCATTTCTATTTCTAATTTACTTATTCTATTAAATTTGTAGTTCCTTTATAGCTAGCTCCTTTTACCTTCCAAATATCAGACACACTTGCACAAGTACCATACATTAATCTTCTATCAATGAACACAACACTTGCACAAGTACCACTATCAATGAACACAACACTTGCACCAGTACCATACATTAACCTTCTATCAATGAACACAACACTTGCACAAGTACCACTATCAATGAACACAACACTTGCACAAGTACCACTATCAATGAACACAACACTTGTACAAGTACCATACATAAACCTTCTATCAATGAACACAACACTTGCACAAGTACCACTCTCAATGAACACAACACTTGCACAAGTACCACTATCGATGAACACAACACTTGCACAAGTACCACTATCAATGAACACAACACTTGTACAAGTACCACTATCAATGAACACAACACTTGCACAAGTACCATACATTAACCTTCTATCAATGAACACAAACACTTGTACAAGTATCACTATCAATGAACACAACACTTGCACAAGTACCACTATCAATGAACACAACACTTGTACAAGTACCATACATTAATCTTCTATCAATGAACACAACACTTGCACAAGTACCACTATCAATGAACACAACACTTGTACAAGTATCACTATCAATGAACACAACACTTGTACAAGTACCATACATTAATCTTCTATCAATGAACACAACACTTGCACCAGTACCACTATCAATGAACACAACACTTGCACCAGTACCACTATCAATGAACACAACACTTGCACCAGTACCATACATTAACCTGCTATCAATGAACCATCATACTTGTGATCTCCCAAAAAACCCTTATACAGACATTTCCAGGCAAATCAGGTAACACATGAATTATAATTTTGACTAGTCACATGCTTGCTGAATTTGTGTTTCCATGGTAACAGTTTAGAAACATATGCATCAAATTATACATAAGTTACCAACTTACCAAGTTTATATAAAAGTTACTGAAGGGTTTGGGTGTGAAAGTCCCTTTCATATCATAATATTATAATAGAGAGTAGGTTAATATGGCAATTGCTCTTTAGAAATAAAGTGCATACATTTACCAGGTGCTTATGGTCTTTCATATTTCTTTTAAATTGGTTCACAAATTCATGGCAACCAATATTATTGATGAAAGGGAAGATAAATAAGTGAATGTTGCATATAAGCCTTACTTACTTCAATGGCTATGTTTAGACTTATGGGATCATCACATTGGTTGATGTCGACTGTGATGTGTGACAGACAGATTCCATCTATCCTGTAATAACAGTCAGCATGAAGGTGATGGTATTTACATATCTGCCCTGAAACAACAGAAAGTAAGCATTTACATACAGATATCATACAGCATTATCAAGACTACCATATCGTAATTCATTATGGACTTACTAAAATTCAGGACTTCAATAGCAAACTTTTAATAAGAAATGATTTAAAATTTACCATATCACACCAGTTGAGACAGAGCAATCTGATATCATCGAATAACCATCTGAAATCCTATCAGATTGGAATAAAAAATAAATTGTGAATTCGTATTAACACTACTAGTATAAACAATGTGATGATACATAACACCATTAAACATACACATACCTTGACAAACCTGTACTAGGTAAAGAATTGAGAAGAAAGCTGCAAGCATGTTGGAGTCAGCCATAATTATCAGTACTGTGTTTATCCTCTACCCCATACTGCCAAAATTTCTCTCCACTAACTTCTCAATTTAATGATCAGGTTTGATAATCTGCCAAAAGTAAAAACTGAAATACAAACTTATTCAATCAACCATCTAATTGTTTTATAAGCATTTGTTTATGGGGACCACCTCTCTCTTTCCTTCTGACTACCAGAGCCTCTGAGGACTACCTATCCATCCCCCTGCTCGGGGTCAGAGACTCTGGTGACCATCTCTTTATCCTCCTTGGACCAGAGGCCCTGGCAACCACCTCTCAATCCCCCTGGGGCCAGAGCACAGAGCGACCATCTCTCTATACCCCTGAGGGACAGAGCCTCTCCGATCAGAACCCCTATTTATACAAAAAACGTCCATTAATGCTCTTCAAACTAAAATTTGAAGATTTGATGGCTGTTTTCCTTCTAGTTCATTTAATCCCTTTATCTGCCAGAACATGATATTAAGATTTTCAATGTCTGCCTTTATTTTTCCTATTGGAGCCCCATCCCTCTGCCCCCAGGCAGACCAATTGTTCCTCAATTATCTATACAAAATTCAGCTTCTTTTGCCTAAAAGGCACATTCCACCTATTTGATCAAAATACCTTCATTCCATCAGAAACAGAAGATTTTTATACTCTGTTTCTTCTGTTGGAAACTAAGTCCATCTGCATTCTTGGTTAAACAAACTAATTTTCACAAAATTGAGTTCTTTTCACCCAAGCCTGGATGCTCTGACCAAATTTCAACAAGTTTCAGTCATTCCGAAAAAAAAAAAAAGATTTTTAAAGAACTTGCTTAATGCACATGGGGCCTAAATTAAAACCAACCAATGAAAATATGGTTTCCCTTGCAAATATTTAATATGATTTTATATGATACATAATGAACGCAGGCATTAAGCCTTTATGTTCATATCAATGAATAACACAATAATATAAATATATGTACATAACTTTTGATGCAATTTCAAAGTGGATCAAGTTAGCAGCTTATTGTAATATTTTCCATGATAAACTATTTACGTTGTCCTTTATAACGGAGGGAAAATAGATTTGGTTCATACGATACATATAATCTTTCAAGTGTTCATCAAGTTTGATTTCAAACTGCCTCACCGAGGTAGCATCTACCACAGACTGGGATAAGTTATTCCACAGCTCGACTATCCTTTGGCTAAAAAAGTTTCCTCTGACTTCCAATCGGCACCGTTTCTTAAAAAAATTATGGGAATGGACCCTTGTTCTGCCCGTGTTATCCATTTGGAAAAGGTTTCCTGTTACTCTCTCATCGAAAAAAAATGTTCATCATCTTAATTACATTGACCATATCCCCACATAGCCTTCGGTATTTTAGCGTTGGAAGACGCAGTATATGTATTTGCCATTCTGTAAGTACCAGTACCTGCCCTCGAATAGCACAATTAGAAAATGTCATCATTCTCTCCCTCTCTGAACCGATGTGAAAACCTAGTGTTTTCTTAAACATAAAGATAGTTCAGTGAAGTAGCCGCGATGATTAAAAAGCAACCACTATCAGTTCCGCACTTTATCATGGAAGAAGATGGTTTACACGAACATAATGCAGCCACCCACTAACCCATGCATTCAACATATGCACCCACCTCGAATATATAAAACCACAGTTGCTAAATGAAAGAATGTTACACAATGCAAAAATCAAACTATAATTACCTATCCGCTTTTCCAAAACAATAACAAATTGTACAGGAAACGCAGTATGGATAACTAATGTTAATGTCGAACAACTGAAACAAACATCCGGAATATCTAGTTGATTTTATATAATCGTACGGAAAATGTTTTTTTTAAATGCCTGAAGTAATACATTAGAATCCAGTGATTGACCTAAACACATTTTGCCGTGACACAAAAAATGCATTAATTCTAGATGCATAATGGGAGAAAAGTAACCATTAGTAAAAATAAGAATATATGAGATTCTTGAGTTTTTGGACAGCTTTTCATGACGTTTGTAGATTTTCTGTCTTCTCAACACAAAATCATATCTTTAGCTTTATCCCAGATTTTACTCCAAACTTGACAAAGTACATTATAAGACAGGGTGACATATTCTCATACAAATTGTCAATCTCTACCTGAGTTGTCGTGCCTTATACAGTTACAATAATGCACTATAGGAGAGATTGGTATGTAGTAAGCACTGTATGTTTTATTTTCCAAACTTTCTACTTTGGATTAATCTTTCCAATTAAGTATCAAATGAAGTAACTTTGTTATTTTTCGAGTTAAAGTTTGTAAAAAGATGTACTCATAAATTTACTGACATCGCTAAACTTCTTTTCACTCACTCACAAAAAGGAGATAGAAACATTCTTGGCCAACTGGTTGAACAAAATCTCTGGTTTACACGTGACATTATTCTATCGTCCCATGATTGGATTGAAAAGAACTTAGTGTGATGGCATGTGTACACTGTGTCTTTATTTTTGTAGCTCAAACACTTCGTTGCTACAAGACGTATATCAACGATTTTTGACATATTTCACACTTAAATGAAATAAGCGATACCATTGAATATACATATCTCAGAATTTCTTCGGGTGAGTAACATATATTGACTATAAGTTCTGATACCAAAACCAGTAAGAAAATCATGCGTGACGTTTCCATGGCTACCACCCGGTTACCAGCCAAACGACCACTGTAAACTAGCGTATTGCACAGTGGACGGTATCGGAGTAAATTCACAGGACTTTTCGGCTGTAGTGAAATCTTATATATCCTAAGGTGGAAATTAGTGTGACGATATGGCAATAAGATTAATTTCGAATCTATACGTACCCGGGTTTCTTGGAGATGACCACGTACTAACCATTCTCATCTCCCGAAATTTCACTCCGTCAGATGGTATGGCCGTCAGCCTGACTTTCGATGGGGCCGATAATGATAATATCCGATGAAAGTCTCCACATGTCATACTTGTTACATGCATAATGATTGCTTTGTCGAATGCTCAGAAAAATTACACAAGGATGGATGCCAATATGATATATATATACTATGCCGAAACTAATTTTTGTCATAAACAATGGACATAAAACATTATGCCCTGGCTAATAACATACAACTAAAAAACGCTAAATAGAAAGAAAGGAACAATCCCCAACGAAGAAACACGATTTGCCTTTGATTAAAAAAATATTTATATGGAAATATGGATCCTATCAACTTTGTACTACTGCATATTCTATAGAATCTCTTGGATCAATATCCCACAGTTAAAGAAACGTATCCTTTTTGGATTGGGAACTTAGATGATGTACAAAACTTGGCGAGAAATTTACAGATATTTCAAAATGAACACCAAATTATGGACCTCTTTACAATAAGATGTAAACTGATGACAGGCTAATCCGTGTTATCTTTGAGTAACAGTTAAAATAGCAGTAATATACAATGTATTTGATCCACGAACAAGTAAAACAGAATGATAACTATAGCATCCAACAAAACAATGGTTTGATCATTCAGGAATGAAGGAGTTGACAAATGGAGGAAGACTTTGACGAAATCGGAGAAAATAGCTGGATGTCTTAATATTCCAAACAACGGTGGCAAAAACAGAACACATCAAGATACGCGTCACACTGCTCTGAAATAAAGGAACCACCAAAAAAGACATAATGCAGAAAATTTAAAATGTCTTACTCTTTTATTTTGTTCACAAGGAATATCATAATTTCTTTAAGTATTGAAAAAAAACTTGGGACAGGAAAACGTTGATTATTTCTTAATTGTCTTATTCATATGTTTTTGACGTCTTAGGATTTTTTTTCGTGACTGGTTGGGGTTATTTATTTATCTATTTATTTGTGTTTATAAATCATGGCAAATATTGCAGCAGAGAAAGACATTAACATTATACTCTATACTAATTATGTGTTTCATCACCTTATAGTTGTCGTCATCAATTATCCCATTGTTTGGAAGCTTATTACATGGAAATCTTTACAGTTCTAATTCTAAATCATGCTGGTTTTAATCTTCAAACTTACCTTGAAACATCCCCACAAAACCGTCTCCAAAACAGGACATACAGGTGGGATATTCGACCAAAGGAGATAACTCGCTACAATCTCTGGAACCGTAAGCTCGGGTTCCACACTTGAAATCAAGCATGAAGATTCATCAAGATTTTGTAAAACGCGTAATTCCATCTTTATACCAGTATTTATGAATATAAACATACAAATACAAGGCATTTCGTGCTAGCCTTGGTTATTATAACTATTACGCGTTTCATTCAATAAAAATTACTTACCACAGCCAATATCCAAATAATTCCCAAGCAAGCTTGGCGAGGAAAAGACAGATGAAGTAAATGAAGGACGTGTCTTGATGGATTTTCAAAGTAAACATTGCAGTAAGTAGTTAAACGATAACAGAGACAAAAGATGGAGCTATGGCTCACATTGCTAGGCGCCCAGCAATTAACCAAACATTAGTCTTGACGTCATAATGTAGATGACGTAATAATGAGGCATGCGTCATAGTAACAAGCATGTGACCGGCAGTAGATAAATTAATTTGCTTAGATAAACATAGTCTCGTATATAGGTCGCAATTTATTTTGGTTTTTATATACGTAACAAAAAGAAAGAATAAATATGATATTACGAAAGGAATTCCACGACGATTTCTCCGACAAAATAACAGAAAGACATTTCAGGACAACATATCGTTTTGGATAAGAAGTTATTTTTTCTGATTGAAAACAATACTTTATTTACAAATGAATCAATGAGTTTAAGAATATAAACGAATGGAATAACACTTTTAATATAAGTAATTCCACTTGGCATCAGATATTCAAACTTCCTTTTCTGATCACTAAAAGTACTAAACTTCAATGGTTTCAGTCTAGAATTAATCATCATATTCTGACTACAAATTCCTTCCTGTTCAAAGCACGTCTAGTGGTATCTCCTTTGTGTATACTTTGTAATTCTGAAACTGAAACAATTATTCATACTTTATGGGAATGTCAGGAGGTCCAAAATCTCCTCTCCTGTTTTGAAAGGTTGTTAGATATTCTTACTATTCCTTTTAATTTCAACAAAGAATCTTATCTCTTTGGATTTCTTACGCAAAATTTGAGTAACAGTAAGATTGATAATGAAATTCTTATTATTATAAAGGCTTATAAAGGTAAAAATAAAAAAATAAAAAAAATCCAAGCGAACAAACATCAAGATCATCTTCAGACTTCAACTTCACAAATTCAGTTTATCATGGGATAATATCATCAAATTCTTTATTGTATACTCGATAAAGTTTTGGTGACCAAAATCAAATAATGAAAAGCTATTTTTTAGCTTTTAGAACAATCCCAATGTCCTGTCCTGATGATGGGATTCACACTTCTGATCACTTTTTGACATTTTTCATGACATCTGCTGATCAGATTCCAGCATTCCATACTTATAGCAGACAATTCTTGAACGAAGGTCTACATGTCCGTCAATTCTGTGTGCATCTGAGATCGCAGTTGGGAAAGTTGACATCATTGCATGTCTTCAAATAGGGTAATCTAAGCCAAATTGGTGAAAGGCACATACATTTTCAGCAGAACAATACAATCTAGGTTTGTTTTTCAGTTTTAAGTTTGCTTTTGTGCTATGAAGTAAATGTTTGATTCATTATCATGTTCTGTGCTGACAGGCGTGTCTCAAACAGGGGCTTTTAGCTGTTGATATTGTTCGTATTGCCTCTAAAGCTTAGAAAAAATTATAGCGAGTTGAACTTTAAAAATGTTGAATTTCACTGAAGTTGCAAATGGTATTGTCTACTTTTGTTTTTAAATCAATTTATTACTACTGTCTGGTTTTATCACCAGCATTTCTTGAAATAAGTTTTGATTCATTTTTACAAATATGCTTAAAAATGATTTATTGATTGACAGGGTTTAATGTCTGTGTTAATACTGTTTAAAAACTAACCTTCTGCGTCTAATTTGTTTCTTTGAACAACAAAATACTTCACTATCAAACAAATATTCATATTGTATTTTACTAGTATGCATTTAGTTATATTTGGTTAGTTTCCCCAGTATTTCTGTAAGGGGAGATAAATCTATTTCTTTTTCAATTAAAATTCAAATATACTTGTTTAACTTTAACCTTATTAATTTAAATCTGAATAGAATAATTCCTTAATATCAATATAACATTATCCCACACTAAAAGCAAGAAATTTATATGCAATAATGAGTTACTAGACATCTAGCTGTAAATACATCAGTAGCAGCTGTACAATGTAGTATATATGTACTATATGTGATGTCCACCTACAAAGATTCTTTGAATGGATGATTGGAGTAGAAATTGCCATCAGTATTTAAAAAAGATGATAAAAGAATCTATTCGCTCCTATTCCAAATCAAATAAACGAGATAATGGCAGAAGGTTAGAATTATCGTGTAATGACACAAACCTACTTCAGTTTTATGTTTAAAAGAACAAAATAGTCTGAAGGCTTTTATACACTTCTGTCTCAGGTGTGATTAACTTCATAACATTTTTTGTGGAATAATGACATATTAGCAATAACAAAACAAAAGACTGACGAGAAGGGAGATAAATCTGCTTTTAATTATCTATGTTAGGCAGCATACAGCCTTAATGGAATAAAGTATTAGTATGAGAAGATATGTGAAATGTATTCAGAAATGCAAGTAAAACTTTCACAAATTAAT